GGAGAGAGGGAAGTCTGGGCATCTTTGCTTAGACTGCTGCCCGTGCGACCTGGTCCCGGATAAGAGGAGGAAAATGGATGGATGGGTGGATTAATCCAGGTGAACACACCTTTGTCATTGTCTCTACAACTGAAACCAAACACTGCTGGGACAGACAGCACCATAGTAGATGTTCCCACAGCTGTGTTGCACCTGTAAGTTGCTTTGCTTTCCCCCCTCACACGGAAAGTCTGGACCCTGTGCTGCCGTTCCATCATGTGAAGCCATCTTGTTCTTTCCTCGTCCACAGCCTGGAGCTGTTTGTGGCTCCTTCTCCTGCTACAGGGTGAAACCCTGAGAAGGTCTGACTTCCTGGGTTCATGGTCTTTTTTCACGTGTTGCTTCAGAGGGAGCAGTAACAGTCTGTTCCAGCAGTGCCTTTATACAGAGAATCTGTTGTTGTCAGTCACCAACAACAGTTTGAACCTGTAGGAACTGTTGCATCCTAACCTGTTACTGCTCCATGAAAAAGGCCTGGTTTATATGAGATTTACATGTAGTTTTTGTTTGGTTTTCCTCTGGCAGTTTGACTTTTCACTGGACTTGAACTGCTTACAAGTAAAAAACAACCTTTTTAATGGTAGTTTAATAGTTTAGTTTAAACTTGCATAAAATGTGGGAATCCTCATGGACTCAACTTGCTGCCATCCTGTCTGTGAAAATAAATAGTTCTGTTCTTCCACAAAGTTTTGTTACTAGATTAGGAATCAGCCCCAGACATACTGTATGTTTACATCAGAAGTCAGCAAATAAAACAGGTTATGAGGTGGAAATCCCCCATGAACTCAGCATGTTTCAGTTGAAACTGTTATTTTAAGATGAAGCTGTGAACTTAGCAGCTTTGTACTGTAAATCTAGGACAATAATGGCCGTTCTACAGTCTTGAGGAGTAGATGTGGGACAGAGACCTTTTCTCCTCTTTTTGTTATTTTGTCCTTATGAGGCTGTTTGAGGATTTTCATTTATGGATTCAAAGTTTCATGTGTGACAGCTTTCGGTCTCTTATTCCTGTAGCCTCATCAGTTAAGTGCAAAAATTAAATAAAAATGTTGGTCACAAAAAATAAAGATCATGATTTTTAATTGTTTAGTGTGATCACCAACTATGAGCCTCGTTCCCAGCCATATGTACCCAACATTGTTACCTGGTATAGTGTGACATAGTGGTGCAGAGATGGTTTCTGAAGGTGGTAGGAAAAGCATTGTCTGCTAAATGTACATATAGCACACACACTGACCTGTGCAAACAGGAGGCATCTCTATAGTTTTAGTGTCACTGCAGCCTGCTACCTCCACAGTGTGTTAATGGTGTTTCTGTGTAAAAGTCAGCAGCAGTTTTCTGCCTGGGCATGCAGGGGCAAAGTAATACAGAATAAGAAGGTGCATGATTCTGGTGTAAAACACCAGGGGTCTCAGATCAGTATTAGGTTTTTATTAAAGCCATCGTATAGTTTATTTGACCCATGGATCTTGACTGTAGGAGTGAGACGGAGACAGAGAGAGGACGTGCCTTACTGTGCAGCAGTATGATTCAACCTCGGGGTTTTTGTTTATTTTTGATTCTGAGATTGAAACTGAACTTTGTGGAAGTGACACTGTTATCTAGCTGCACTTTAAGAGACATGAAGCACTGTGTGCATTGTTGTGTTACCACTGTGTGTTACTGCGAGCATCACAGAGTCCCAGTGACCCACAGCTGGACACTATCAGTACACATTTTATTGTGAGTCAATGGTGCAGGTTTCTGCCTTGCGTTGTTGCACAGAGGTTGAGTTTAGGGCGTTTGTGACTTGTGCACCACATTCTTCCCCAGTCCTTCGGTGACAGAAATCCAGTTATTAATATTTCACTCGTGTTGAACTCTCCCTAGCTTGTTCAGCTGAGACTAAACAGCGTGACTGCTATGCAGTATGGAAAGTCATGACATTGTAGTGCTCAGTGTGGAAACAAACACAACCTGTTTTAATAAGGGAAACTGTTGTAGGTGATGCAGAAAGTGGCATTTAATGTTGAGAAGGACAGTGATAAATC